GGCAGGAAGCTCAAGATGGGCAAGAGGCACCCACAGATTTGTGTCACAGCTACACCACAGTGCATACATGACCGCCTTGTGACACATGTTCACCTGCAAGACTGTCGGCAGGCCAACACTGGCATTCCACCTTCTAGAAACTGCCACACTCCCATCAAAAATGACAGAACATCTGTATGAAATCTACCTCCCCTATGACACACCTGGCACACCTACCTTACCCAATAGATACATGCTTAAGTATATTTCATAAAAGAAAAAGAGAAACTGACGTAAAACCCTCTTATCTAATTGCTGCCATTCAGATTTTATGGGATGTGTTGGTGGGGCAGTCGTAGAGAAAATTCTGCCTCATCTAGTGTGTTGAATTCAGTCCCTGCAGACATTGCCTACATGAGGTAAAGTGGCCATAAGTATTTCTGGGGAGCAGTCTAAAGGCAAGGTTGTGGGTCCTTGTAAGACCCCACCAACATCCCTCCATCACAGAACAAGGCAATTCCCAGCAGTGCTAGGCAACACACTCAATTCCTCTGTCTCCACAGGCTGGTTATTCCCTGGGTTAAGGAGGTGGACAGGAGAGGAGCAGTCCTTTGTGCAGAGTTGGCCCTCCTGCCACACCTTTTCAGACCACATCCATACCAAGTACAAACACAGTCAGGTCAAACTCAAGTCTGTATAAGAGACTTCCACACAACATTGTCACCACGGGGACATGCTGCTCTCTTCCTGCCTCCCCTTTCTTCCTTTGCTGCTTCTGCCCTTTTTCTCTTAGGTCTTCCCTCTTTCTTAGTGTCTCCATCCCCTCCATACCCCTATCTGCCTTGCAATACCCTTTCCTTCCATGACACCTCCCTCCACCTCTAAGAAACAAGATGAAACACACCTCCAAGAAACACACCTGAAGAAGCATAGCAGGGATGAGACAGGGGAGGAGCTCAGGGGAGGAAGAGATCTTCTTCAGCCCCTGAGTTAGCCCAGCACAACTCCTTAGCCTCTGACCTGGTCCCACACACTAGGCACAACCCTGCTGAAGCTTGGGCTGGGATTAAGCACTATGTACACCTGCACAGATGCTGAGCTACCACATACAGGCTAAGCTGGGCAGAGAGGCAGCAGGAATCCCATCCAGCCGCCCTTCTAGCAAGGCTTTTACTCCCCTCCCTCTCCTCAGGCGCATGGGTCACACACACATGTGCATCTCAGGGCTGTCCTCAGCCACTCAGCCTGTGCAGAGGGTGCAAGGGGGAGGTGAAGTGCCAGGGGCCAGAGGTGGCTGGACGCCAGTCATGGCCTGTACCAGGGTCCCCTTTGATCCCCTGACACACACACAGACACACGGCGTGGCTGCTCGGGGAGGCTCAGCCAAGAAGCCTGCCCTCCGCCGCTGAATCCCCACTCTGTTTCCCAAGTGACAAGCCACAAACTCCCTTTCTCTTCCCAAACAAACAGAGGCTTGAGTGAATCACTGCCTCAGCCCTGGCACACAGCACCCCACTCATTATGGATTCTCCTCCAGCATCCAGCCCCCCCGCGAAGGTCAGCATGCAGCCATGCCAGCAGAGAGTCCGCAGGCTGCACCTCCCTTTCCCCACAGCATCCCTCTGTGCAGCCTGAAGCACCATGCAAATAGTAAGCATGCCTTCATGTCCCCCTTCCCCATCCTCCTCCTCTCCCCTGGTGTTTGTGGCTACAGCCTGCCCCACGCAAAGGTAGGGGAAACTGAGGCACAGGATGGTGACTGCTGAGAGACCTCGCTGGGATTAGGATTCAGGAGACCTTAGCAACAAGGTTTTGTAGGCAGTGTCATCTCTTGGCTTCAACCCCCAAAAGCTCATCTCAAGTGAAGTAAAGCTGTCTTCAGACTGCAAAACCTGGTCAGCAAATGCTCTTCTTTATCACAAGAGCCTTGCATACCTCCATATACAAGCATGAGGCGAGCTACCCCGCACCACTTTCCTGCCCTTGTCCTCCCCCGCAAACAAAGCTACCTCCCTCAGCAACGTGGACACCAGAGTGACATCTCTGGAAAAAGCACCCACAGTGTAACAGTAAGGGTTTGTGCTCATACTTTGTCCCAAGTGAGCACTTGCCTCTGATGGGGTTATCATCTCGGCTCTGGCCCAAATGTAGCCCCATTTTCTACCACCAGGGTCCTGTGAGGAACGATAACATGTCTCCTGCACCCTGTGCACTCACCACAGGGCTGTGGGGTGGTCAAGGCTGGAGAGCAACATCCTCCTGTTGAGACAACCCTTCCTTTCCCCTTCAATGCAATGCCTGCCTTCCTCCCAGCTAGCATCATCCTCTCGTCCCCGCACACACGCTCTCCAGGGCAGCATGCGAGAGACTCAGAAACCCTTGGGGAGAGCCAGGCAGAGATGTGGCCACCAGCCAGTGGACATACTTGTCTCTCAAGGATCTCCCTGGACCTGGGGTGGCACTAGGAGAGATGGAGCTACAGAGAACTGGGTTTCTGCCTCACCGTGCATCACTTCGCAAGGCACCGGGGAGACAAGGGCTGTTGTAACTCCTGAAAGAGGAGGGCAGCTGCCCGGTGTGGGACATGGCTTGCTCCCTGCTAAGACTGTGATTCAACCCTCTTTCAAACCAGCTCACCCGACAGGAGGGACTGAACCAGGCTGGCTGCGGCGCGCAGTTGCATCTGTCAAATTAGCCAGAGCACACACGATCCGGAGTGCCTGCCAGATGTGGAAGGACAAACAACACTCGAGCCAGCATCAAGCTGGAGTGGTGCAGACAGATAATACCCAACGCAACGTAAACCTTGCCAGTACAGAGTTAAGCCAACATTGTTTTCTAAACAAATCTGGAGCAGCGGAGTGAGTTCATACTGGATCAGCATTTTCTACCATGTAGCCGCAGCAGTTTTGACCCGGTACCAAGCTCCCTAGAGCTGGATTTATTGTCTTGTCCACCCTGAGCCGGTGCCAAAGCCATGTCCTGAGAGGGCTATGGAATTTAACCAATGCCAAACAGCTTCGAAGGCTCCATCCGGGAGGACCTCACTTTCTGCAAACTCCCCAGTAACGAAACCGAGAGCGACTGCACGGTCACGCTTCCTGCCAGGCCCTGGCCAAGAGGAAGGGTGACACATCAACAACACTACAGTCACTCCATCACCCGCCACACACACACACGCACACTGAAGGGTGTGAACCACAGGGGAAAAGATCACTTCACAGTATTGTCAGCTGGCAGCAGCATCCAGAAACGATCCCTCCAGGGAACACCAGCCATTCCCGAGGTGGCCCCAAAGCTGCTCCTGCCCAGCACGCTGTGCACCAGGGGGGTCACGAGGGATGGGGAGTGCTGGAGAGGGAGTGAGGAAGGAAAGAGGGAAAAGCAGGGCTTAGGGGTACCCCAAAAGAGAAGAAAAACCAGCTGGCACCACCAGACAGAAGTTGAAGGTGGTATTTTGGGTAGAGGAGGATGTGTTGGGGTGGTTGGAGAGGGGGACACTGAGGAGGTCCCGCGGTGGCAGCAGGGAGATGCACTGGAGCATGCACCCTCCTTGCTATCACCAGGTAGGACCTGGGCAGGAGGGGAGCAACCCGTCACCTCCTTCAGGGGAACACCACACGGGCACCACTGCCAGGGCTGCGCTGCAGCATGGGCCCTGACAGCCCTTTCCCCTAAGAGGAGCGCGTCAGCCCCAAAATCTGACTCAGAACACCACAGCATCTGCCAGAGTCTGTGCAGAACCACAGCCTGGCAGGTGCGAACCCCCCGGATGTCCCCTCTAAAATCCTCTCCTCTGAGGATGCCCGCTGCCTTGCCAGCAGCTCCTTGCTTCAGAGACTTATTCTGGAGAAAGGCACCTCCGGGCAGGTCCGTGCTCCTCATGGGCCGGCGGCACGGCTGGGCCTGCCCAGGCAATGGGAGCAAACAGCTGCTCCCCACTCCCCTCCGGTCCCCTGCTCCAGCAGCATCTCCAGCGGCACAGAGACACGGCATGGAAACCGAGCTGCTGATCTCCCTGCCTTCCCCGCGGAGGAGCCGGGGAAAGGGGCACCGAGGGCAGCCCCCGGCAGCGGGAGGCCCTTTCAGGTGCTCCCGACAGCTTTGCGCCCCAAAAATGGGTCAGGCTCAGCACAGGGCCCCTTGGCTGCCTGTGCAGGGCACACGGCGTTCCCAGCTTATGAAACACACCGTCTCCGGCAGGAAAACATCCCTCCCAGCCGGGCAGGAGCACCGGGGGGACAGCAGATAAGCAGCGACAAAGAGCATGCCCATCACCCCAAAAAAAAAACTGTGCCAGGCTGGGCTGGGTATTCAGAGGAGCTAGGAGCTGCCTAGGAAATAGAGGCCAGCACCCTCCTTGGGGAATCGAGATACCCAAAATATCCGTGAGACGAGGAGGGAGGGGGAACACCCCCCCACCCCATCCTGAGTGCCCCACTCCCGGCCGCCTGATGCCCACTCCTGATCCGTTGCCAGCTGTGTCCCCGAGGGGACCCAGGTCAGGGTGGCAGAGCCCAGCCATGCTGCTGGATGCAGCATCCTCAGCCCAGCTGCCCCTTCTCCCCCCATCCCCCCCCGCAAAAAAAAAAAAAAAAAAAAAAAAGAAAACAGGGAAAGGGAGGAGGAAAATGCCACAGGGAGGAGAGCAGACAGGTGTCTGCCACGGGAGGTATGGGAAAGGAAGGCAGGCACTCCAGACTGTGTGCAGGGGGGACCTGCAGCGCTTCCCCCCACGCTGCTCCCCAAACATCCCCTCCCCGCACAGCCACGCAGAGCTGCTAGGAAAGGGGGTCTGAGGGGAGGGAGCAGCTCTCCATTACCAGGGTTGGGGGGGAGAGGGCCTGAGGAAAGCCTGGATTTTTTTCCTCCACGTAGCAGAAAACCCCTGCTTTTCTCCTCCCTCGCACCTCTGGGGAACGAGCAGCCAGAGGGAGGGAAGGAGGGATGGATGGGTGGGTGGATGGATGGATGGATGGATGGAGAGCGGCGCACAGACATAGGTACCGAGGTTGGCTTACCTCGCCGTGCTGGTGCTGGGGGTGCCCGGGAGGTAAATCCAGGGATCTGCTCGTCCTCGGCAAGTGCTGGGAAAGGCCTCTCTCCTCAGTCACATCCAGGAGCGGCCTGTGAGTAGGTGCTCCGGCTCACCGCTCGATCGAAGCTGCCATGGATTCATTGCGAACGACTTCGCCTTCTGTGAGGAGAGGAGGAAAGGGGAGGGAAAAAAAGGAAAAAAAAAAAAAAAAAAAAAAAAAAAAAAACCACAAAAAAGAAAAAAAAAAAAAAAAAAAGAGGCTGTCTCCCCAACAACATCGTGTTTATTTCCTAAAAGAAAACCCAACAAAATGCCTTTCTGGCATAGATTTCTTAGGCATATTTCTGTTTAAGCTGTGGAAAAATGGGACTTACCCTAGTGCTGCAAAGCAGTCAGTCATGGAGAACATTTTGATTTAGGAGGAAAGGGGAGGGAAAAAAAAGAAAAAAAAAAAAAAAAAGAAGGAAAAAAAATCCACCAGCTTAAGACTTGGAGGGTAGATTCACTTCTTTCTTAGGTTTCCAATGGCAACTGAATATACCACAGATGAAGATCCCGGGTGTGTGTGTGTGTGTGAATGTGTGTGTGTGTGTGGGAGGGACGGAGAGATGCACAGCTGCTGAGTCCACAGGCAGAGTGGGGTGTGAGCTAGTCAGGGCGTATCGGTGATTATGGGAACAGACAACTGGACACGGGCAGCAGAGCAGACAGACAGACGGATGGAAAGAGATTTAAAGGATGGAAAGAGGGCAGCCTGTATCCCAAGAGCCTAGCTGTCCCACTACACTCTGAAAGGAGACAGCACCTGGCCAGGTGCAGGACAAGGTGCTGACGGAGCTGTGCCGGGAGAAGGTGAAGTGTGCCTACACACATGGCCACACACATACAGACACACCGCCTCCCAGCCCTGCTCACATCACTCAGACATGGCCCCCCTCAGGCACGCTGCTCACACTCAGACTGCTACACACACCCTGTACACACACTCACCAGCCTTTTCATACCCCCATACACCGCCTCGCACACATCCCCTAAAAATTCAGAGTCTCTCCAAAGGCTGAGGTGCTTCTCTTCTTCACAGACATCCCGCACTGACAAGATTGCACAGCTGTATTAACATGTGTACGTGATATTTCAGACACCCATCGCACAACCCCATCAATACCACCCAGCCTGTTTCACCGCTCGTACAAGCACACAGTAAAAACATTTATATGCAGCACAGCGAATACTGACCACTGCACAAATGCGTGCTGAGTATCTGGACACAGCCACCACACACAAACTCCTGACCACTTATATCTAACTGTCACTGCACAAATGCATACCATGTAATAAGCCCACCTCCATATCAAAGAAAGACCAGAAAAAGTGCCAGGTACACACACACAAACATCTATATCAGTGCAAACAGCACACCAGCATATCACAACGCAGACATCTATAAGAAAAAAAAAAAGCACATAAAACATCCTCGCACTCTTAAGAACCTAAGTCAAGCAAGCACCGCTGGCTGCATATCACACACGAATATACTACGCTTACAAATTGCCTGCAGCATACAAACTGATCGCATCAGATACTGTTACCTTCCTAACTCAGCCCACACAGTGGCATACCATCCTTCTGGATCCTAAACGCTAGCCCCAGCATCATCAAACACCAGCCATATTCTGTCACATGCAAAACACAAATACTCATCAACATCCAACACAGACAGACAAACACAAACTACACACGAAATGCAGACAGCCAACATCACTCACCCCTCTGCCCCCCAAAATGACATAATTGAAAACTTAGGAAACTGCAACTCACTTTGGAGACAGTTGTATTATTCTGTACACCTGCATGGGTGCACACGCATACGCATGTACTACTGTCACACCAATTCTGCTTAAACTGCCACCACCTCTGAAATAATCCCTTTTGTGGATTTTTTTTTCACTATCTCTAGTTCTGCCCATTCTACCACCTCCCAGCAAAGCCCACGTATCTGTCCATTGACACATGTTGCAGCTCCTGGGGGCAAAGTCTCTGGAGCAGACAGCTTGGAAGAATATCCACAGTCATCCCTTCTTCTTTCCTCCTTTCTTCTGGTGTTAGATGTGCATAATTTGCATGCAAAGAAGACTGCAAGGTCCTACCAGCCCCAAATGCTCTAAAATTGGCTGATAGTGACATCAGGGGATGTGACTGCAAAACCTAAGCATGGTAAAGAAGTACATAAGCCCTTATGGGAGGCAGAGGTTTGGCCAGGAAGTCGACAGCATCCCCTGAGCCCCCTGGGAGACACAAGGAGATGCAGGAGGTGGGTAAGAAGGGGTGAAGAAAGCAGGGAAGATTGGCCCAGCACTAGGGACGGCACGACAAGCACTCTGCCGGGTTTGTTTAACAAGCTCGGGAGTGTCACAGCATGATACTACAAGCGATAGTGGAGAGCAATCAGGGTTCTGCATCAGGGCAAGCACGTGTGCCCCTGGGAAATGGGAAAGGTACAGGAAAGCATGGAGTTTTGGTGGGGGAAAGCAGTTTGGTTCAGATGGCACTGCAGGCATGTGGCACAGCGGTCTATGGCTGTATTGGGATCCCTGGAGCAGCGAGTACTGGAACAAGTACAAAAGGAAGAGCCTATACACATGAAGGGTCTGGCACAGGGGTGGCTTGGACACAGGCAATGCAGGGATCACACTCAGGTCTAGCCCCAGCCAGACTCACAGGCCTTCCCAGCCCTTCTCTGGACAACTCCTGAGCAAGCAGATTATCCCTGATTCCTAGAGAAGACAGGAAAAAAGGAAGGAGTCCCACAAGCTCTGGTCCTGTGCTGGTGGCTGGGCATGGGCTCCGAGCAGGTACAGACACACCTCAGTGTTGTGCAGTGTACATTGCCATAGCCTTTTCCAGGGACTCCCTGCCCTCCCTCACATCGTGTGCCCCAACACCCTGCTTCCACAACTCTTCACCAAACACTCCCCAAGCCCCTTCCCAGAGCACAAAAGTACACCTTCCCCACCGCACTTAGGCAGGAAAACTCTCCGCTCCCCCATGCCACCTACTTCACACCTTCCCCCACAGCACTCCCACCTTCCCACACCCGCCACCACACGCATGTTCGTGCGGCAGCACGAGAGGAGCCAGAAGAAACATGTGGGGAAGCCCCCACCACCCCCTCAACCCCTCCAAGCCACCCCCACTTCCCCTCTACCTCCACCACCGCCACCACTCACTTTTCAAAAGTGCTTTGAAGGAGTAAAAATTTCCTCTCTCTCAGCTAAACTTGGCCTGTGCACCCAGGCAATTTCAGCTTGCTTGGAATGTCTGCTCCTCGGCACTATGCTCAATTGTACCTGCATGCCTCTTCCCACAAACATCCATTGTGCATTACAGGAGATAAATAATGCAGGCTGAAAGGGGACATGCGAGAGAGTCGTTTGGACCCTAGCAAGGCACGTGTACAGAGAAGAGTGAGATGGAGGTGCCTCATTTGGTCAAAGCTAACAGATGCTGCCAAAACTGGAAAAGCCACCATGGCCTGAAGCGCTACTTGGGTTAAAGTACGGTCATGAGGGCAATTTAAAGAGGCTTTTGGACTCAGGATTTCTAATAGGTGCTGAGAGGTAACACAGAGCTGTCATATGTGGGTAGGCAAGGAGGATCTTTATCTCAGAGATACTTAGTACTGAGGTAAGCAGATGAAGAGAGGCACTAGTGGAAAAGGGAACCATCATTCTAAACTGACCTCCAAACCATCTGCTCCTGTGCTTCAGGGGCATGGAAGAAGCACCATGATTGGCTAAACAAAGGAAAATGGAGAGTGAAAGCACTGCAAGCAGGAGCCAAGGGGAATGTGTATGCATGCTCACAAGTGTATGTCAGTGTGGTGTTCATCTTGTTCACCTCAAAGGGATACATTTCACCCACCTTCACATGCCTGTTTTGTGCTGACAAGCAAGGAAACCTGGGAGGCACAAAAACACGTGTCCATCAGTGTTGCCATGAGTGAGTCCACCTGTGTGGGATAATGCTGAAAGGGGGCAACACAAATGATGTGGTGTTGTGTGTGCACATGGGTGTGCAGGAATGTGTGCCTTCTGGTAAGCATCTGTGCGTTGGTGCTGTGCATGTGCCTGCTGTGGGCAGTGGACTCCAGGTATCGATGTATGGAATGTGTATGTGCATGTGTATGTGTGTGCATCCAAGCACAGCACAGATCTATGGTAAGTGTGCACGTGCTGTGTGCGCTCCTGGGTGCGTACAGATTTGCAGGGATGGAATCCCTCTCTAGGTGGAACAGACACTGTCCATCTGGCTCCTTCCCTGACTCTCCTCCTGGTCTCTGCTTTTCCTTTCTCGCCTTCAGCTCCCCTTGCTCACTGGCACCAGCATACTCTGCCCCGGGAACCAACTCCCACACACCAACTCCCAGCAAGGAAACTCCTTTCCTTGCAGTTCTTGGGTATCTTCCCGTACCAAGAGGCAGAAAGTGAAGAAAAACCTAGTTGGACAACCTGAACTGGACCTATTCCCTTTCCATGTCCTTATCACCCATTTCCAGTCTCCAGGAACTGCATCGCAAACCCACAAACATTCTCCCCCAAGCCCTGAGCACCACAAACCAGAATCATGGCTCACATCCAAGCCACAGGCCATCTAAAGCTGAGACAGCTCAGCCATGGCAGCTCAAGGTAACAGACTTAGGAGACAGCAGTCCCTATAGCCGGGAATATTGAGGGGCTCTGGCAGCTACAGTGATACCTGTTTGACTTCCATTTCCCCAGCCAGAATCACCCACAGCTGGGTTTGGTATGAGAAACTTTTCGCACAAATCACAGGCAGCACAGCTCAAACTCACACCTCTGGAGCCAGTGCCACACATCTTAGCTGCTCTGTCATTGTTCCCACATCGGAAGGCTAAACCTTTGGCCAGGTCCCACATGTACTGAGTAACCTCCAGGCAAGGAACCAAAGCATGGAGCCTGCCACCTGGAGCACCTCCTGGGGCAGTGGGACTTGACCAAGACAAAACCATTTCTTTATTCCCTTAACCAGTGCTGCAGATCACTACCTTCCTCCCGAATTACTAAATTACTTGGCTCCCCAAATTGAAATGCAAACAACTGGCCTCCATTTCACGCTTTGCTTTTGTCCTATATCCCAGT